ATGGAGCTGCAAGAGCTGCTAATACATGAAGGCGTGGCGTCCCTGCTGCAGGAGCACGCTCAGGAGTTTGCTGCTGACAGCAGCAGCAGCAGCAGCAGCAGCAGCGAAGGACGCTGCAACTGTTCACTCTGCAAAACAGAAGCAGCAGCAACAGCCAAAGTAAGAAGCAGAATCGCAAGGTGCTGCGCAGTTGTCCTGGCGGGTGTCATCGAAGATGCAGCAGCAGCAACAAAGCAGCAGCAGCAGCAGCAGCAGCAGCGCAAGCAGCAGCAGCAGCAAAAACAGCAGCAGCAGGGTGGAAAGAGGGCCACAATAGTCGGGTGCTTCAAATTGTCAGAGTTCTGTGCAGCGGTTGAGGCAGAGACGCAGCAGCAGCAGCAGCAGCAGTTGCTGCTACAGTCTCTTCCTGCTGCAGCAGCAAAACATCAAGAGCTGCTGCTCCGAGATTTGCGCAGTGTACGGGCAGCTCTGCCACTCGGTGTTGATATTTTGGGTGTATGGACACCTGCACAGCTGCAGCAGCAGCAGCAGCAGCAGCAGCAAGAGGAGCAGCAGAAGGATGCGGTGAAAGAGCAGCAGCTGCAGCAACAGCAGCAACAGCTGCTGCTGCAGCAGTTTGCTGCTGCTGTCAATAAAGCAATGAAAGATTCCACAGGAGCGGAAGCTGAAGGCGACATCCCTGACTTCTGCAACAGCAGCAGCAGCAGCAGCAGCAGCAGCAGCAGCAGCAGCAGCAGCAGCAGCAGCATGCGCAACGACTGTATTGTATTTGCTCTTCTTCCTTCTAACGAGCAGCAGCAGCAGCAACAAGATGCGGAGAACCTTGCGGAGTGTTTTACAGCATTTGAAGTCTCACCAGCAGCAGCAGCAGCAGCAACAGCAGCAGCAGTCGCTGAAGCTGCAGCAGAGAGACAGTTGAAAGTGCGGGTTGAGGACGTGCGGTGGATGTGGCAGCAGCAAAAGAGTTTGCTGCTGCTGCACAGTCGGCTGCCGATTGATTTGCTGCTGTCTGCTGAGGCAGCAGCAGAGTGCTTGCAGCAGCAGCACATTGCTGCTTGCTGCTGCAACGGGGGATTGCTGCTGCCGTCGCTCTCTCCTGCTGCAGCAGAAGAGCTGCTGCAGCAGCTTCAGATGCAAACGCAGTTGCTGCTGCAGCAAGACGGCGTATTCTTCGGTCTGCCCTCTGGTTGCTGGGTGTCTCCTGCTGCAGCAAACAGCAACAGCAGCAGCAGCAGCAGCAGCAGCAGCATGACGTTGGCTGCAGCGCTTTCTGCTGCGAAGAAAGCTGCGAAGCAGCAGCAGCAGCAGCAGCGTTCACGCAGCAGCGGCAGTGATTGTATCACGAACAGCTGCGAAGCAACAAGCGGATGCCTGGAGTTTGCTGCTCAAGGTTCGCGGCTGTTACCTCTGCAGCAGCAGCAGCAGCAGCAGCAGCAGCAGCAGCAGCAGCATAAGCTGCTGGAAGACTTGCTTCTGCATGTCCCTGTGTCTCGCCGCCTCAGCAGCAGCACAACTGCTGCAGTTAGCTCGCATATTATATGTGCTGCTGCTGCACCTGGTGCTGGTGCTGCTGCTGCTGACACAGCTGGGCAGCTGCTTGGCCCTGCTGCTGCAGCTGTTTACCCTGCAGCAGGAGCAACAGCAGCAGCAGCAGCACGTCAGGCTGCTAAGGCGGAAAAGGAGCAGCAGCAGCAGGACGACGCGCAGCAGCTGCAGCAAACCCTTGAAGCACAAAGAGCAGCAGCAGCAGCAGCAGCAGGAAGAAGCAACTGCCGATTCCTGCTGCAGTGCGATGTATGCTTGCTGCTGCGGAGAGACACGCAGCAGCAAGAAGCAGCAAATCTGCTGCTTGCTGCTCTGCTGCAGCAACTGCGCTTCGTAGGCGCCTCTCTTTCGCAGATGGCAGCAGCAGCAGCAGGAGCAGCAGCAACGCAGAGGCAGCTGCAGAAGGGACCCTTAGGCTCGCAGCCGCTGCTGCTTCATTCTTTGCTGCAGCAAGGAGACACTTCCTTGCTGCAGTTTTCTGTCTCCTTTGCTTCTTTCCTCCCCTTCGACTCGCCGCTGCCTGTCACAGCCTGCAGCACGGAGCTTCCCTGTAAGCAGCAGCAGCAGCAGCAGCTACTGCAGCAGCAACTGCAGCAGCAACTGCAGCAGCAACTGCAGCAGCACAACCGACTGCAAAGGCACTCCCGCAGCGATAGCCGCAAATAATCGCAGCAGAAGCGGCAGCAACAGCAGCAGCAGCAGCAGCAGCAGAAGTCTGTGTTTGTTGTGTATGCTGCAGCTCTGCGGGTGTCGTGGCTCGACTTCTGCTGCAGTCGGCAGCTGCTGCCCTCCTTCGTCGCCCACTGTGCGCTGCACTGCAGCAGCAGCAGCAGCAGCAGCAGCAAACTCGTATCGGTATGGGCCCCACAGACGCTTTGAGATGTGTTCACTCTAGTGCTGCTGCTGCTGTTGCTGCTGCTGCTGTTACTGGTGCCCCTGCGCATGCATGCGCATGTTTTAGTGCTGTTGCAGCTGCTACTGTTGCTGCTGCTGCTGCTGCTGCTGCTGCTTCCCCTGTTGCTGTTGCTGCTGTTTCTGCTGCTGTTTGTGCGTTTACTGATGTTGCTGCTGGTGCTGCTTCCCCCTCTGTTTGTGCTGCAACGGTTGCTTCTACTGTTGCTGCTGCTGCTGCTGCTGCTGCTGCTGCTGCTGCTGTTGCGCATGCAGCCCCATCTGCCTTTATGTGGGGGGCCTCGGGGATTCCGTCGGCCTCGCGTCTCCGTGGTGAAGGGACAGTGCGAATATTATCATTATCTACAAGTCTGTCTGTCTCCTTGATCTGTCTCCTTTATCTGTCTCCTTTATCTGTCTCCTTTATCTGTCTCCTTTATCTGTCTCCTTTATCTGTCTCCTTTATCTGTTTCCTTTATCTGTCTCCTTTATCTGTGTCCTTTGTCCGTCTCCTTTTGTCTGTCTCCTTTATCTGTCTCCTTTGTCTGTCTCCTTTTGTCTGTCTCCTTTGTCTGTCTCCTTTTGTCTGTCTCCTTTATCTGTCTCGTCCTGTCTGTCTTCTTTTATATGTCTCCTCTTGTCTGTCTCTTCTTGTCTGTCTTCTCTTGCTTGTCTCTGTCTGTCTCCTTTTATCTGTCTCCTTTCATCTGTCTCCTTTTGTTTGTCTCCTTTTGTTTGTCTCCTTTTGTTTGTTTGTCTGCTTTTGTTTTTCTTCGTTTCTTTTTGTCTCCTTTTATCTGTCTCCTTTTCAGCATCTCTCAATCTCCTTTTGTCTTCTTCTGTCTCCTTTTGTCTTCTTCTGTCTCCTTCTGTCTTCTTATCTTTATCTTATTCTACGTCTCTTTATGTCTGTCTTTGTCTGTTTATCTCTGTCTCTCTTTTACGTTTTCTTCATCTGTCTCCTTTTGTCTGTCTTTTCTCTCTGTCTCTCATTTATCTCTTTGTGCATTTTTACTTCTGCTGCTGCTTCTGCTGCTGCTTCTTCTGCTGCTTCTTCTGCTGCTGTTGCTACTGCTGCTGCTGCTGCTGCTGCTGCTGCTGCTGTTTGTTTTGTAGGACGGACTGGAAGATGAGGGGTGGGGTTGTTGTTATTGCTGTCTCCGCTCTGTCTGCTCGTGGTTTGTCTATCAAGGCCTGTCTCCTTATGTGAGATCTTCTGCAGCAAGTTTCTGCTGCTGCTGCTGAAAGTTGCTGCTGCTGCTGCTGCTGCAAGTTGCTGCTGCAAGTTGCTGCTGCTGCTGCTATTTGTTTGTTGCTGTTTTTAGCCAAACTGCTCACTTAAAGAGATATTTATAAAGGAGACAGCAAAGAGACAGACAGAGACAGAGAGAGGCAAAGATATTTATAATGATAGAGGATATTAATATGTAGAGATAAAAGAGAGATAAAGAAGAAGATAAGAGACAGAAATAATAATTAAATTAAAAAAATAAGTAAATAAACAGACAGATAAGCAAAAAGGAGACAGACAGACAAAAGGAGACAGACAAAACAAAGACAAACAAAAAGAAAATAATTTAAACGAGAAAGAAGAGACAGATAAAAGAGAGACAAGAGAAAGAGAGACAGCTGCGACATCATTTATTTATTTATTTATTTATTTATTTATATTTATTTATATTTATTTATTTATTTATATTTATTTATTTATTCTCACTCTTTGTTTAAATTAGTTTTTCTTTAGTAAAAAGCATCTGCTGTTTATACACATAAACGAAGAAAATATGTATACATTTGCAGCACCGACAGCAGCACCAACAACAACAGCAGCAGCAGCAGCAACAGCAACAGCAGCAGCAGCAGCAGCAGCATAAGTAGAAAACAGCAGCAGCAAAAAGGGGAGCGATTTTGCTGTGCATTGGCTGCTGCTGCTTGTGCTGCGTTTGCTGCTGCTTGTGCTGCTGTTCGTCTTGCTGCTTCTGCTGCTGCTGTTCCTCCTCCTCCTCCTCCTGGTGCTGCTGCTGCTGCTGCTGCTGCTGCTGCTGCTGCTGTTGCTGCTGCTGCTGCTGCA